TCTATTCATGACATGACATCAGAGGGCACATTTCTAAAATATTGGCAATTATACAGGGCGTCCCAATTTTGACCTACATATCAAAGTTGTGATTTTTTAAATGGAATGCCTCAAATTTTATTGCATATTTGGATAAACCAATTCGGAAGAAGAAGATTGATATAACATAGTATGGGGTTAAGTAATTAGCTACTGAGATGTAAGGTGTTTTGTCCGAAAAAACCGTCCACTTCAGCAACCCCTTAATCCGCCATTTTGAAATTTGGAGTGCTGAGTTTCGTTTCAAGAAAAAACTTACACACCTCAGCTTTTATCTTATTTGTTACTTTTTCGAATTTTCATTTTTGCTCATACAGGGTGGTCAAAAATGCAAATTGTACCTTTTCTCAAAAATTTCAAATGCATCACCCTGCATATTCGTGCAAGTGCTTATCAACCTGTTTTTAATTATTGTAGTACAGAAATTTCAACGTTTCAGAAGTTTAAAAACAAAGCGATTAAAAGGTTGTGTTCATATAAACTATTTTTAGGAGCGGAGAGTACTGTTTATCCATCGTCATGACTTTTATTGGTATTCAACGTATGAAAAAGTAAAGATTTATACAATATATATGACAGTATGTCATATAAATGTATTTGCATCATCATTATATTTATCTTTATTTACATATTAGTTAGATGGTTTATTTGTCCTTATCACATTCGTTTACCATAGGTAATCTGAATATGGCATGTACTAAACGAGTTTGTGGAGCAGATGTTGTATGGTTTATTTTGACATACCTAACTCTGTGATATCTAATCAAGTCATTAACGTGTAAACAATTTTTACTGCAAAACTGCACTATATCTGTATATACCCTGCGTATTATGTCTAACAAAAGTGTAGTGCGATATTTCAGAATAATTCATTTACATGTCTAATACACTGGACAACAAATTTTAGTTTTTTAATTGTATCTTGTGGGAAAAGTGCACTTCTTTATTAATTTTAGGGCGCTGAATCCAAAAATGACAATGAAATAAAGAAATTAGTTGCGGTTTAGAAAAAAAACTTTCTATTTTTAAGGTTATATTAAAAAAAGTAACAAGATTCATATACTTATAAGAATCACTATATGCGCTATCTTTTTGCTGTTCTTTTATGGATCGTTTCTGGAGCATCTCTACCAAGAGTCCAACAGTAGTCTGCAAGCATGGAAGGATTCCACTTTCCCTGGTACATTTTTTCCATTGTTGAAATATCCTGATGAAAACGTTCGCCGTGCTCATCACTTACGGCTCCGCAATTGTCAGGAAAAAAGTCCAGGTGTGAGTGTAGGAAATGTATCTTAAGAGACATATTACAGCCCATCATTTGATACGATGACAGCATATTTTTGACAAAGGTTTTATAGTTGTCAGCTTTTCTATTTCCCAAGAAATTAGTGACCACCGGACGGAAATCATTCCAAGCAGTTTTTTCAATACCTGTTAAAGTGTTTTCAAACTGTGTATCTTTCAAAATATTTCGAATCTGTGGCCCAACAAAAATACCTTCTTTAACCTTTGCCTCACTTAGTCTTGGAAATTTCTGACGCAGGTATTGAAAAGCTGACCCATCTCTATCTAATGCCTTGACAAAGTTTTTCATTAGGCCCAACTTGATATGCAGTGGTGGTAATAAAATTTTTTTCGAATCTACTAATGGCATATGCTGTATATTTTTTTGACCTGGCTCTAGGAATTGACGAACAGGCCAGTTTTGTCTGGTATAATGAAGTGCCTTTGCCCGACTGTCCCATTCACACAAAAAACAGCAAAACTTTGTGTAGCCTAGCTGCAGCCCAAGTAAAAGTGCAACAACTTTCAAATCGCCACAAATATGCCATTGGTGCTCATCGTATTTAATATTACTGCAGAAAACCAAGTTATTCTCCATATTGAAAAATGGTTCTAAGTCTTTGTGGCGTTTACGAAAAACTCATGCCGAAACATCGTCTTCTAACAAGTTCCACTGCTGCAGTCTTGATCCAAGTAACTCTGCTTTACATTTTGGAAGTTCTAAGTCTCTTACAAGATCATTTAATTCTGACTGTGTTATTTTGTGTGGTTGGTGGCATAACGTGCTCGGTATAAAATCAGGATCTCTTGACGTTGATGGCATATCTTCTTCCTGACGGATCACTCGATCGCCATGATCTGATTCGTTGTCTGATTCGCAAGTGTAGGATTCTGGGGGTTTTGTAATAGGATTTTCTTCACTGTGAGGCACAAGTCTCATCGCAGATGGTATGTTTGGGTAGTTAATAACCGATTTTTTTTTCTTGGACATACCTGTGGCTTGTCCAACACAAGGTACCATGCAAAAGTAACAATCATTAATATGATTTGTAGGCTCTCTCCAAACCATTGGGACAGCAAACCGCATAGACCGTTTTTTGCCATTTAACCAGCTCCTCAGACTTGAAGCACATGTATTACAGCAGATGTGGGGTGCCCACTGTTTGTCTTGATCGCCTAGTTTACAACCGAAATAAAGCTGATATACCTTTGTTATTAGTGGAGTAGTAGACCGTATCTGAGACGCAAAAGTCACATCACCACACACGTAACAAAACTGATCTGGATTGTTTACACACTCTCGAGACATCTTGCATGAACGCTGTCAGCCAACTGAGGAAAAAATGGCTAATATAAAACAATATAATGTACACGTATGTATAACGTAACACAATCATGCCGATTACATCACCTTTCGTTGCCGAATATAAAAATGTAGCACGTGCATTCTTGTGAATTACAGTATATTAACACTGTCACAGCAGGAACAGATATAATTACCGTATCTCTAAAACTTGAACTAATATTGAAAAAATAAGTTTCATTCCGGTTTTAGCACATTAAAAATAGTAATATTTTGTTAATTTTATTTAGGATATTTTTTGGCTGTTGATCAGTGTAGCAAAAGGAAATGCCTTTCACAAACCAACGACAATAATTCAAATATGAAGTTCATTTTTTTCTGAGCTTAGATATTTTGGGACGTATTTTAATTTTAACAGTCTTCCGTTTATTTTAGTACTTGAGGGCTTTTTAAAAGCCCAAAGTTTGCATTTTTGCAAATTCGCACATTTTCGAGTATTTTTTTTATATCGAAGCAGCCGCGCAGGCAGAAGCCTAAATGCCGGAACACCGCGGCTGCGATGATGATCCCAAAGAATGGAATACCATTAGCCACAGATTTTTATAATTGGCTTAGGGCCGATTTCACCAAAATTATTATTTTGGACCAATAGGAAAATACGTTATCGAAATGCAATTTGACGAAAGCTGTCCAAGGTCTCAGAATAGCAGTGATTTCTATTAAAATGTTGAATAAAATCGTGAAAATTCGACTGTATTATAAACAAGACCACTTTTTGATTCCAACATGATGCTTTTGTACAGAGAAAACAGGACAACTTTCATGTATTTTGATTTATGTTATAGGTGTACATTTGACCATCCGTTATCCCCTCAGCGAATGGGAATGGGAGAAATAATAGCTCGATTTTCTAGCTGTTAAATTTGGCAGCAGGTTTGGTCGTTTGTTAATTCATGGCAATCTCGAAATTTGTTAAGTTCAATATACTGTGTGAATGTGTGATCATTATAGCTACACATACCTGTTGAATTGTGCGGGTTTGCAAGAAAATAGAATATAAAATGTATTCCAACCAATTCCTCATTTCTCTTTACATCATAATAGTAATCATTTGTTATAAATTCGTGGGTTAATGAATTTCTTTTCAAAGCGATCAAAACAGTATGTCGTCCCCATCCTAAAACACCGATATGTGTAAAACATGTTAATCCCTACATCTCCGAGGTGCATAATGCAATTACTGTAGACATAGACCTAAAATTATTAGTAATTACTGAAAAATAAGAGCTAAAAAGAATTATAAATACTGATAAAATATTGGAGGTTAAGGTTTTTGACTGGTGACTGGTGGGGATACACTATAGGGATGGCGACGATAGACGATAAATTGATGTATCGAAAACATCGATACATCGGACGTAGAACATCGATCTTTACGCATCAATGGTTTCATGACGATATATCGATATCTAGATGGTGCGACTGATTATACACTGAAATTAAAACAAAAAACTGCAACTGCAATTGTATGTATGAATGTTGAAACTGTTGAACAGTTTCGGACAAGTGGGGTTAAAATATCGTTGAGGAACTGGAAAGAAGTGTATGAATGTGTTCAAATGCAACACCTAACAAGAATTTGAGTGAAAAGGCTTTTTCATGTAAGGCTTTGGAAGTGCAAGTTTGCAAATATAGGATAAACTATAAGCACACAGTAGGTGATATAATCACATATGAATTACAAAAGTTGCAGAAAACATGGAAAAACCTTCAGCTAATCTGAAAAAACAGATTTTACTCAGACATCAAGCATTTTTAAAAGTTTTGCCTCAGTTTTACATAATTTCATAATATTTAATAAACTGAAAAGATTTCAATGGCAAGTTGTCACTTCATATTTTAGAGTGTTTTGTTTTGAATACTTTGATGCTATTTGCTGCCAAAAATTTGAGGGAGAGATCTTGAGGCTGATTGGGTATATTTAACGGACTGTTTGGTACTCGTACCCTATTGGTGCAGAATAATGGTTTGTTAAATTGTGAAATCCACCCTTAGTTAATTTTACTATTTTATCCAGAATGGATTTTCTGTTCAAACTTATTAATGATTACAGTTGAACTGGAAGTGATATTTGATCCTCCAAAATTATTCTTTCTATTAAATCACAAAACATTTCTTGTGTATTCAAGAAAACTATGGTTTAAATCTGCTGGTTTGGTCGCAACAATTATTCTCAATGATATTCCTCTTTCTGAAAAGGTGGTCTCCGAATATACCATGATCCAGTGCCTATCTCGTTACTAGGGTTGAATCTTCCGACATGATAATCGTTTTCTTCATTGTTCAATAAAATACCACAAAACCAAAAAGATAATTACTCACCGTCCTTCCTGTAATACAGTATCTCTGCATGCCTCTCTACGCCCTCCTGCAGCGCCTCCTGGAGGGCCTGCGCCGCCTGGTGGCTGGTGAGCGGACCACACAGGAAGTCGCAGGTGGCCGGCCGTTGCATCACTTCCGCTCTGCTGTATCCGGTCAAACGGCAGAAGCCGTCCGAACAGTAGATGATGGGACATTGCGAGGCTGTGGCTGTGGCAGCGCCTGTTGACGAGCAGCTGCGGCTGTTGGCTACCAGGAATGAACGGTCTGCAAGAAATGAGGCACGTGTCATTACTCAAATCGTATCGTTTAAGGATCCCCCAAACCGACGCGAATCTTTCGCAGCGACTGCGATCAATTCGCGACGACATTGTTGCCCAGGGATTCTTCTCGTAGAAGAAAATGAACAAGAACAGACCGCTGCTTGCACGATTTTTATCGCTTTCGCAATGGCAAACACTGAAAAACTTCTGGAAATAATTAAAAAATTTCCAATTCTCTATGACTTGAATAACGAGGACTACAAAAATGTTCGAAAAAAAGACAAAATCTGGGATGAGGTAGGAGTGGAATTGAATGACACCGGTAAGTTACTCTTTACTGAGAAATTATTATAATACGTTTATTATTTATGAATGGCTTAGCTAAGCTGATCTTGACCAACAATATTAGGAGTTGAAGTGTGAAATTGCCAGATCCGTTGCACGTCTTGGATCATTTTCGATGTTGGTAAAGGCTTGTGATGGATCTGGATCTTCGTCTAGAACATTGATTCCCAAAGTGGTCTATGACAACCTGCAAGGGGTCTACGTCAGCGAAAAAAATTTGGGGGTCCATGAAATGAATATGGGGGTACGCTTTAAGGTAATGGCATCACGATACCATAACTAACATGGCCTCCCGCTTTATACAGGTGTCCAGTGGCGGTAATCCGACGATGCACTGAGGCAACGGCGCTTCTTCTACCCCTATTGCCCCAAGCTCCAAAGCTGAGACAACGGAGTTATTTAGACGTTCCCACAATATCATTCTGAAGGGCATAGCTGAAGGGAACGATGACATAAACATAGAATCAGAGATAATTAGGCATATTGAACCATCTGCCGAAAATCACCGACTCAGCATCACTCGCCTTGGCAGAACAACTTCAAGCAATCGTTTAATTAGAGTTGTGTTTTCCTCACCTATTATCGTCAGCAATATTTTGCAGAAGAAAAACTCCATCCTTAGCCACCCCACGCTTCGTCACGTAAAAATCTCTGACGACAAAACCAGAGGTCAAATGCAAGAACTACAACACCTTCGCGAAGAGCTTAGACGTCGTCAAACAACAGGTGAAAGTAATATTGCTATAAAATACGTTCGTGGTAAACCTTCTATAGTACACACAGCTACCCAGGAGATCACACCTTCAAAAAACTGATAAATTCTGTGGCAAACTGGACGGTTTGTTACACTAATATACAATCTCTCTTTTCTAAGCTACTTGAACTCCAAGCATTTGTTCGAGACAATAATCCAACGTTCGTTTGCCTTACTGAAACATGGCTCCATTTCAACGTGTCCGACTCTTCCATCAATTTGCCTGGATACTATTTATACAGAATGGATTCACCACGCACTCCTGGTTTTGGTGGAGTATGCATTTATGTTCGCACGGAAATCGCGTCGGCTTTCTCGGTATCTCCCTCTTTCAGTCCTTTCGATGGCATTGACAATCTATTTTTGGAATTGAGGTGCCCAAATTTCAGCTTCACGATAGGCTGCATATATCGGCCACGGTCCTGTTTGGGAGACACACACCTGTGCAGTCTCATTTCAGATCTCTTAAATAAAAACACCAACCTTTTCATAGCTGGTGACTTCAATCTACGTGACATAGGCTGGCCTATGTCAACCATTCCTGAATGCAATTCTTCTTCTGCTGCTCACATCGACTTCTAACTTTCTAACCTCCTATCTAGAACGTTACATGATGCCAAACATGCTTATGAACGAAAACTCGTTACCTCCAAAAATGAGAAGAAGCTGTTTCGGTATCTAAGAACAAACCTGAATTCCAAAGTTTCATCACCTCAGATCCGTGACGCTGACGGTCATCTCCACATGGATGCCACCGAATCTGCCAACTTACTGGCAGAGTCCTTTAGTGATGACTTCGTCGATGAGCCTAATGGAGACCTTCTACCGACCACTATCTGCCATAGGTGTCCCAACAGCCTTTGCGAAGCTGAGTTCCTGCCTGAAGATGTATTAATGCACCTGCGAAATCTGAAGACCTCTTCCTCCCCTGGTAAAGATGGGATGACGGCTGCTGTACTTAAAAACAGCGCCTCAGCACTGGCCCTACCATTAAGCTTGATATTCACATCGTCTTTTAGATCTCATACCCTACCCTCATGCTGGCTTAGTGCTTCTGTTACCCCTGTATTCAAAAAGGGCGACAAATCCTCCGCTAAAAATTATCGACCAATAAGTCTCGTTCCTATCGCCGCCAAAATAGCTGAAAGAATCATATTAGATAAGCTCCTGTCATTTGCTTCCGAAAATGACCTTATCCCTAAGAATCAGCATGGATTTCTCCCTGGTCGATCAATAATGACCAACCTTCTCCACCCTCTCAACGATTGGACTCAGTATCTGGACACAAAGATTCCTGTTGATATATTCTACTTAGACTTTTCTAGGGCTTTCGATCGCGTACCACATAGAAGGCTTCTGTTTAAGTTGGAATGTATGGGAATAAGAGGCGAGTTGTTACTGTGGATTAAGGCTTTTCTCACCGGGAGGACTTTCTCTCTGCGCGTCAGTGATAGCCAGTCTCACCTTCATCATGTAGCAAGTGGAGTTCCTCAAGGCTCTGTCTTGGGGCCAGTGCTGTTCCTTCTGTATATAAGTGACCTGCCCGCATTAATTTCCTCCACATGTTCAGCTTATGCCGACGACACCAAGATTTACAATACTGTCGTAAATTCTGCTATGCTTCAACGAGATCTAGATATTGTTTGTCAATGGTCAGTCAGTTGGCTTTTACCCTTAAATCTAACTAAGTGTTGTGTCCTTCACCTCGGAAGACAAATCCGCGATTTACATACAAGATCTCTGACCACAACATCGAAGCAGTTTCCAGCCACACTGATCTGGGCGTTGTAGTCAACGATCGTCTTTCCTGGTCAGAGCATATTCACCAGCCAAGAAACTTCTATACATGCTGGAGAGGTCTTTCAAAGGATGCGATGTCAACACTTGCGCCTACATTTACAAGGCATTCGTGAGGCCAATTCTTGAATTCGCTGGCCCGGTATGGGACACTGTGCTTCTGTGCGATAGAAATCTCGTCGAATCAGTTCAGCGTCGGGCTACTCGTATCCCTTTTGGAGCACGAAGACCAAGCTATGAAGATCGCCTTGAATTATTCAACCTGACCTCATTCTCTGAGCGAGAACTTCGTGGCGATCTTATAGTTACGTTCAGGATACTTCATGGTTTGATGGGCACCAACCTCATGCATCTATACAGTCTGTCGCGCAGCAATCTACGCGGACACAGCTTCAAACTGCATAAGCAGCCATTTAAAACAACAGTCCGACAGTGGTTTCTTCCCAACCGCATATTCAACACCTGGAATAGTTTACCTGAAAGTGTGGTTGGTGCTACTTCAGTTAATAGCTTCAAAGTGCAGTATGATAGCTGGAGGAGTGTACAAACTTTATAGCTATGAACTGTCTTTTTTTATTTTTTTTCTATTTGATGTATTTGTGTTACGTGTGCGTACGCTATATTTTCTGCATGAGCTTATAGTACTGTGTATTCTGCTCATCTCAATTATCATAATAATAATAATAATAATATCCAGACCACTAATCCATAGTGTATCCTGGGTCTCACCATCTTCGTGTAAAGGCAATGCAGGTCCAACTTCTCGACGCATCAGCCACATGGCCTCTATCGACTTTTTGTAGACATATGCGACATGCTATTCCATGACAACTCACAATCCACCCCCACTCCCACTTCTTGACTGAGAGTCAGCTGTACACCGTGAGAAAAAATGTTTGGAATCTGGTTACTTAAGTGTAGGAAATACTTTCAACACTTCAAAGCAAAAATAGTGATATTTAATTTGTAGCTAGTGTTGGAACTCAGTGATTACTGAAAAAGTTTCTTATCATTTACCACTTAGCCTGAAAATCAAGCATGCTGAGTTTACGTTGAAATTGCTCATTTCTCCCTCTTACTATAGTATTTCGGACGACAGTACATAACAATATTGTTCATCTGCGAGTAGATTACGAAATCAATAATACGACACTTGACCTACCAACTTTAGCGCATTCTGCGAAGAAGTTTCACGTATTCTGGTTGTCGTAGGAGTTCCGAACTCCAAAGCCCTTAATACGAAAGAGCGAATAATAGAAAACTATTTTCCGGTTCTAAACTAATCTGGGAAACTAATGAAGTAAATAACTTTCAATTTAACCGAGACACTTAGATGAGGCTTAACTTAAATGGATTTACGGAGGACTGAACACAGCAAAATCCGGCTTTAACTTGCTTAGTAGTGTACTCGCTTTTTATACAAATATCTGGAAATTGCAGTGAATACCCACAAATGCTTTAACCCTGTGCTTTTCACATTGCTGCTCCATACCGAAGCAGTCGCGCATGCAGAAGTCTAAATAACAGGGCACCGCGGCTGCTAAGAGGAGCTTACATCAACTTCCTTAATCTGATTTTTGAACTGTCTAAGGTTAGTAGAACTGGGAAAAGCCTCCTCCTGTAGATTGTTCCACAATCTTGATACCCTAGCCTGCTGGATAAACGAGTATGAAGCTTGACAAAGATAGGCAGGAAGGCGGATTTGTCTGAAGAGCATCGAGCATGGATAATGTAGTCGGAGAGGCAGCACCCCTGACTGTGAGCAGTACTCGAGGCCAGACCTTATCTGGACCTTGTACAGAGAGAGAAGGTCATGTTCAGCCCTAAACAAAGGCGATTGTAGTTTGAAAGACAGCTGTTTTCAAAATTTAAACGATCTCAAACTGCATTTTTACCCTTAGGAATAGGAGTACAAGTAACGTGAATCACAGGGAACTATGGTATCATTTCATGACAAAACGACTTTAATATTTGAATTCAAAAGTACGGTTCAATGATAAAAGAAAACACTCGACGAATGAAACTTTGAAATTTTGTCAAACTCATTTTTCCAGTTACGTGGTTTCTCGTAAAGGTTATGTCCAGTTGCTTTTTACTTGTGGGGATTCCTCAAAGACAAGGTCTGTTAGAACA